AACATTTTTTGCGTGCCTAAGGTTTGAAGGTAACTTTAAATTTACCAAAAAATGCTAAAAATATTGATTTTCATCTTTAAGGTCCGTAAAAGTCAGAAATATAAAATTTTGAAACTCTTCAAGGTATACTGAAGCCATGAATCGATTGCTAACCAGCCAGGAATGATGAAAAAACAGATTGCGGGGGATTTGAGGCTTTTTGTTGGCGGATCTACTGTTTGCCAGCGGGTGGTAGTAGTGGAGGGTACTCATGGCCCCTCCACTTCACTACTCAACACACCAATACACAGTCATTCGGCTTTTTCCTGTTTTCTCTTTCCCTCTCTCCCTCACTCTCACTCTCACTCCCCCCCACTCTCTCTCTCTCTCTCTCTCTCTCTCTCTCTCTCTCTCTCTCTCTGTGAAAAAAACAAACAAAAAACCTAAGCCTATTCCTAGGCCTAAGTCAAGCCTGAGCAGAAGTCTAATCCTAAGCCTAAACCTATGACTAGGTCTTTTCTGAATCGAGGCAGCTAGCAAAAACCCGTTGTGAAATGGCAGCTAGCAGCGATTCTTGAGGAATCTGTAGACCCAAAAGTGTCCCTCCACCTGCCCGCTCCATTCCGGGAAATGCCAAATATTTACCGGCTCCCTTAGCCAAATAGCCAGAGTCTAAATGCGGAAAGTCCCCCCTTGCACCTGCCATGACAGGTAACCGTGCGGAATTTTGTTGTTGAACATTTTGGGACGAGGAGTACTGTAATTCCTGAATGATCTATGCTAACAGGCTAGCAGAGGTCATTGAGGAAACGGGGGCGAAAGCTGGCAGAAGAGGCAATTGAGAAAAGCGTAGTCTAGCAGCGATTCTTTGGAATTCTAGGTGCGGGCAGGCTAGCGGGGATCATTGTGGAAATGCGTAGTTTAGCAGAGATCCTCTAGGCAATCCTAGGAGCAGGCAGGCTAGCAGAGACCATTCGGAAATGAGTAGGCTAGCAGCGTCGCTCTAGAAAGTTTAAGGTGCAGGGCACGCTAGCAGCGATAATTTAGGAAATTCTGAAACTAGCAAAGAACATTTAGGAAGTTGGAGCCGCGAGCAGGCTCTCAGAGACGATTTAGGAACTTGTAGCCCATGACAGGATAGCAGAGACAATTTGGGAAGCGAGCATAACAATAAAGCTCAAAACTGAGCCAAAGTTGGGTCCTTGGGCCCCATGGCCCATCCCCAGGGCTCTTCATGTCATCGATGGCTTATGGGCGGGAGGGCTCAAAAAACGACTAGAAAAAGGCTGTATTTTAGAGCCCGGAACGGAACGGAACGGGGCACCCACCCCGGCAGCTGAGCCACAAAAGGGAGAGAGAGAGAGAGAGAGAGAGAGAGAAACGCCTAGAGAAAAACAGACGATGTGCACTCTACGGGGCCCACAAAAAAGACCTCGTGGCACATCTAGGGGGAATTGAGATTAGCCCGATGAAAAGCCGAGTGGGTGCATGCTCGATGTGTACGATTTTCCTAAAATATCCCTGCTAGACTGCCACGCCACCGCAGCCTCTAAAATTTGCTTAACTGGCTGAGAATTCCAGCAGAATCCCTGCTAACCTGCCAGAATCCTTTCCTTAAGAATTTCTGCTAGCTTATCATCGAGCTCAATTTTGAGCAAAAAAAGCCATGTTTCCGCAAAAATCTCTGCTAGCCTGTCGTAACCGAGCCTCCCAATTCACAAATTCACAAAATTCCCTAAAATTGCTGCAACAAAAATGACTACAGGCTACAAACTAGAATTAGACTAGAGTATTGTATAAAAACGCAACTACAAAAAATCAAGATATTGAAGAAATCTAACGATCCCAAGAGGTCTCTGCTAACCTACGTTAGTAACTCTGGTGTTATAGCTGCTTAAAAAAGAGCTAGAAATGTCAGGCTACAAACTACAGACTACAAAGTTTGGAAGCGGAATACAAACTACAAATCTAAATAAAATCGAGCCGAATTTCCGCAAATCCGTGATTCCTAAGGAAATTTGCTAGCCTATGAGCTCAAAGAGCCACGAAACTCATGAAGTGTAACGACTAAAAAACTAGCTATTGATGAAAGCAAAAAATGAAGCTACAAACTACATAGTACAAACTACAAAGCCTAAAACAGAAACTATAAAATCCAGCCCAAAAAAGTATTCCCACTCCTCGTGGATACTTGACAAATCAGCAGGGTAGAGCGGATAATCCAGGAAAGCCGTCGAGAGGATATGCCGAGGATTCCGGGAGAGCCAAACACTAATATCCGACCCCCTGAGGAGAGACGCTTTTAGAAAATCCACCCGGGGGGGATGCTGAAAAGTCATCTGATGCTCACCCCCGGCCGAGTGGGGCTCCGGAAAAACAGAGGGCTTTGGAAACCATAGTAGTAAAGTCATCCTCACAAGGTGGGATACAAGGAAGTGGATATTAATAGATTTCGTGAGATTTTCAGGGAAGAGGGACGCTAGAAGCACAGCTGTCAACTCCTTCAACGTCTTGAACTCCATGAATAATCAAATTACACAACCTTAAAGGGATAGTGACAAATGAAAATCAGCTCTAAACTCCTTGAACTTCTTGAGCTCTTTGAACCCCTCATCTATGCAACTAAGCCATTTAAAGCTTTGCAAACCATAGTAGTAAAGTCATCCTCACAGGGGAAGACAAGGAAATGGCTATTGTTGGGTTTAGTGAGCACGAGCTGTCAACTCCCTGAACGTCTTGAACTCCTCGAACTCGTCTAATAGTTAAGCCGACAACCAATATGATGAACTTTGATAGATTACGCAATGAAAATAACCTTGGAGAGATCGAAAATGGATGCTGGGACCTGAAAAGCTTTTCCCAAGCCCCCAGATTTCTATGGCAACCGAAAGGTGGTGGGGGCAGAGCCTGAATTTATGGCCAGGCTCTGGAATGCATAAATATGAATTGATGAATATACAAAAAATCAATGAAACGTTAAAAACCGTTAGAATACGATAGGTAAATCAAAAACATTCGATTCAAAAATGTAAAAAATTCGGAAATTGCGAAAAAATTGATTTAAAAATTGAAAACGGGAATTTTAATCAAGTTTTAAGGTTTTTCTAAGTCCAGTTTAGATTATAAACATATCTTTCTATTTTATAGACTTTTTATGATAGTTTTCGACTTTCTAAGTTGCTATTTTTGAAGATTGACACATTTACTTTCCGTTCCCGGCAAAAAGCCAAAGAAAACGCCAATTTTAAGTGATTTTCGGACTCGTTTTAGCCACTCATTTTTCAAAAAGCTTTAAAAATGCTGCCGGCTTCTTCCCTCCAAAAACCCGTCTCTTTTCCGCTCCCATATTCATGACGTTTCTCCCAAAAACGCGCTCTGGCTGGGCTTTAGGACACAAAAGGGCGGCATGAGCCGTTGCTGTTTTTTGGTCTTGGAAGAAGCTTCTGAAACCCCTCGGGAAATGGATTCTAGAGGTTCTCTCTTTAGCTCGAAATAACCTGAAATATTTCTAAAAATGCAGCAAGTTTGGTTAAAGGGGTTGAAAAGTCTTGGCGATGGAGTAACCCTATACCTACACGCAATGCTCACACTATTTAAACGCCTAGAAAAATATGCTTAGCAAATATAGCACGATTCGATCGTGTTTTACGTAAACTTTATACAATAAACAAATGTTAATTAAATAACGTAGTAATAAATCGTAATTAGCAATTTGAGGTATCAGCGATTACAAGAGATCTCTCCGTCTTTCGGTCTCTCTCTCTCTCTCTCTCTCTCTCTCTCTCTCTCTCTTTCTTTTCCGAGCTTTCTCCTTGCCTCACTTTATCCAAGTTTTCAATTTCTGCGATGCTATGCAAAACTAAATCGAAAATGCTACTGTCAGGCAAAACGTCTAAGGTTTACGGTAGCCAAAATCTTGCCTGGCTCTTCCTAATCGCCATTTTGCCAAGCCATTTCCTTTTTTAAATGCTTTTAGAAAATTCTGGCCCTTTAAAAACGGAAGACTCAAAAAAATCCGACGGGGACCCAGGGGATGAAATCGCGAAAACGAGCCCCCAGCGGGCGCTGGTGGCCCCCGGCAAACAAGGCCGAACACGATTATCGCGCTCCCCCAAAAAATGGAGCGTGACCGCTGGAAGGGGAGGGAAACGTCTTTTTCCGCGACGAACATCTAAATCTGGACCCCCGGACGAGGGGTACGGTAGATGCAGTGACAAATAGAGAAAAGCTGGGGAGAAAGCGCGCGATTTTGAGGGGATTTGAGGAAATTTTTGTTTTTTTCAGCACAGGACAAAGAGTTTGCTGGGAGTTTACGGTGACTTGTGCAACAAATAAAACAACAGAAAATTACAAATTTTTACCCTTTTATAGTAATTTAAGGTTTCGCTTTGCTGTCTAGCTCAGAAAGCTTCGTGAGCTCAGCCTAGCACATTTTAGGCCAAGCTAATCCTAAGCCTAAGCCAAGCCTAAGCCAAGCCTAAGCCAAACCTAAGCCAAGCGTAAACCTGAAAACGAGCAGAATTCTAAAACGCGCCCATAATTTCTGCAAAGGTCTGGCAGAGCCTAGTCTTTCGCTAGGAGAAGGAAGAGCTCTGGTGAAGCGGAAAAAAGGGAGGATGGCCGATATGTGGTGGTGAGGCTTTCAGAATGTGGCACGTGACATCTCCCAACTCTTCCTCTATCCCTTCCTCTCCCTGGGCCCCTGGCCTAATTAGGGCCCACTAGGGCCCTAGGACCCTAGAGCCTAGGAGATGATGGTCGTTCGGGGGAATGTTGTGGAATCTCGGTATTTATAGAAACTCCCATTATTTATTCTTTACGGCTTTCAAAATTATATACAACCATATTTTTCGAGTTTTTCCACCTAAAAATCATACCGGAGGACTGTAAATTGTAGCTTGCCGTACTTGGATTACCGTAGTCGTGGATAATACTAGGTAAGACTGTAAGGTACGGTAGTTGTCAAAATACATTACATTTATCAAACGCAAGAAAAGCGGCAAAAAATCATATTTTTTTCAGACACTGGACGGTTGGAAGAAGGCTTTCCCGCGACCGGTAGCCACCTAAATTTTGACGAATTTGATTAGGCTCCGTTTTTCCGTGCTGAAATTCAACGAACAAATGATCCGGTAAGCTCCTCATGACACGCACCTCGTTGTGTTTCCACTGCAGGAATTTGAGGTAGCAGTCGAAACCGTAGGCGCACATTGCGGCGAGTGCGAAGAACTGGAACAGAGCATTTTTTAGTGTTATCGTAATCCTCAAAGAATCTCTGCTACCTTGCCCTATTTAGCTTTGAATTGGCCATTTTTTTGGAGCTATTTAAGATCCGTTTCTAAGGGAGGCTTTAGTTTGGTCTCATCTAAAAATCCTACTCTGATCCAGGACACTTTACTGTAAGCCTAAGCCTAAACCTAAGCCTAAGCCTACTATGTTCTAATACGAAAAGAATTTTTCTGCAATGTTCTATATGTGGCCTCTTTTCCTTACGGAATCTCTGCTAGCTTGCGGTTATCGATTAAGGATTAACGGCTTACCGCAGCGATCGCCCATCCGGCCGTTTGAGCGTACTGTACGGAAGCTACGGCCAACACAGATCCGGCGATGAAGAAGAAGATCGTCCAGATGAACGTGTACACCATTTCCTAGAAAAAAAAATCAAATACCCAAAAATTAACTTTTTAAAGCGAAAATTGCTGTTGCACCTTTTCGTTTTTTTAATTTTAAACTGCTCGTTGCTTGCACCATTTTAAACGTACACAAATAATCCAGTTGATCTGTGGCACCGAGTCGACCACCTTGAAGACGTACAGGAAGAGGAGTAGGGTGGTGATAGACAATCCTACTGTAGACACGAATGTCGCCCAACCGGCTCCTGAAATTTAGAAGATGAACAGTTTCTTGATCACCATGAAAAATACCAGAAAACCCTCAGAATAAATTCCATTTTTGCAAAAATGGGGGCAGCTTTCAAAGACCCGTTAAAAAATCGCGGCAGTTGAATTTAAATTCAGAAATTAATTTAAAAACAACAATGAACTCTTTTTGAAGAAAAAGAAACTAGAAAAAGAGGGTTTTAAGACTTGGAAATTCCCCTGATTTCGACGAACCTGAATAGTATCCGGGTCCTCCGATGAGCACGCAAAGGAAAGTGAGTAGACACAGGGCCTAAAATAATTCTGCAATCCATTTTTAGATAAAACTCACAATGCAAACGATTTTCATAATGCCGCCCAGCGTCTTCAGATACGAGGTTTCCATCTGAAAAAAACGCTAAATAGATAGTTCAAAACGCATTTCAAGTATATGTTAGAACCATTTCCCGACGGACTACCGACATTGAAATTCCAGTACCGAAAATGCCGACAACAAGGCAGTAGGCGAAAATGCCGACAGCCGAAATGGAGATTAAAGCCAGGAGCATTTCAGTTCACGCGTTTTCTCTCGGCATATCGGTTGCCGCCAATTTGAATGTCGTATTTTGAATGTCGGCGTTTCGGTTGTCGATATTGGGGGTGTTTTCGATGAGAAAGACTAACATCGGGCATCTCAAGCTGCACGGTGTTGCTCTGCGGAGCATAGTATTCGGTCCGCTCCTCGACGGTGGTGGTGGTGTACGGCATTTTTTCGTCGTTTCTGAAGTGAGTTTTGAGGATACTTTCATCTTGTATTTTAAAGGAACGTTGAAAGCCAGAGCTAGCTAGTTAAGAGGAAGCTAGGAGCAAAAAAATAAGTTCTCGGAGCCGATAATCGGCACTTAGAAGGAGCCGGGAGCTGGGAGCTGGGAGCTAGAAGTGAGAAAAGCTTTTCGTTCTTTTCCAGCTTTTAAAAAATGACGATTAGGGGTAATTTAAAGTTTTATGAGTGGGGAGCATGAGTTTAAAAAAGGAGCACGAGCTCTAAAAGGACCATGCGTTTCTAAAAGGAGCACGCGCTCTAAAAAGAGCATGAGTCTCTGAGCACAAGTATGAGCACAAGTATCTAAAGCGAAATGGTTCTCTTGAGGAACACGATTCTCCAAAAAACATGACTTTCTGAAGCAACACGAGTTTCAAAATAGAGCATGAGTCGCTCAACCGGCAAAAATAAATAGTGCTGTAAATGAGACCGTAAATGCCTCTACAAGTCCCTTAAAACGGAAAACGAAAGTCAAAAATCAAAGAAATTTTTAATATGCCTTTTTGTGCTGTTTTTTAACCGGTTCAGGAAGGGGCGGGCTAAAACGAGGGCGAAAAGCTGGCAAAAGCCGAGGTCCTCGGCATTCTTACAGCGCATGAGGGGGCCGAAACACAGAGGAAAAAAGAGGGAGACTTTCGATCGCCCCTGGGGCCACAGCCAATACGTGAAATGATGCCCCACAACTGACACGACGGCATTTCGAAATACTCTCTCGCTTACAGGTGGATAAAAAATGTGTTCTTGGGCAAATGGTCTTTGCTCGATTGCCTCGGGATAAAAATTACGATAAATAGAATAGCTATATTCAGGGCAGGCTAGCGGAGATCTTTTAGAAAATAAAGAAGCAGGCTAGCGGAGCCTCTTTGAGAAAACAAAAAAATATATTAGCAAAGTTTGGTATTTTTCCGTGCATAGTACCTGCTACTGCTACCTCACCTCTGAGGCTATCAGAAGCCTTGAGGAAACAGATTCCCGGGCTGGCAAAGTATAGTCTTTTTCCGCAAATGATCGCTGCTAGCTTGTCTCGGATGTTTTTGAAAATTAGAATAGTTTAAACTTGCGGCACGCTAGCAGAAATTTTGAGGGCATTTACTATTAGGAGCTAGCTAGCAGAGACTCTTTGTGGAATCTGAAACCCGGGGTAGCAGGGTATGATAGTTTCCGCGAATTGCCTCTGCTAGCATGCCAGGGACAAACAAAAAGATGAAAAACTAGAGTAGCTTGAATCCCTGTCGGGCAGAGATTTTTCCGGAAATTAAGGGGGAGGCTAGCAGAGATTTTTGGGGGAAATTGAGGGGCAGGCAAGCAGAGATAATTTTGGAATCTCGGAAGGTTTAGCTAATTGTAAAATCATTTAAGGACCTACAAAATTGCTCCAATAGTCCCGGAAAGCTGCTGAAGATCCTTTTCCGGGTCTTGATTGTTATTTCCATCTTCAGGCTCCTGAAAACAGTCTTAATCAAAAAAAGAAAAAGCAAAAAATCACACTTTGCTCCTCCTCGTCCTCCTCCACCACTTCTCCGTGGATGTACGAGAATTCTTTGGCAATGACGGCTTCCAAGGTATCGATTTTGTTAGGAGCTTCTTCTTCTGGTGTCGAGGCCATCGAGATTAACTTGGAAAGGTGAATTTTTCAAGCTAGCTTGAAAAATAGTCAAGCCTTGTAAGGCCCGTTAAAGCAAAAATTTAAGGTATTCCCGAGCTAGGAAAATCTAAAAACCGAAAACCTGCCAAATTTGCAGGAAGTGTTGACACGGTTTGTGGCCAGGAACCGAGCGGTTGGCCTGGCCGAATGGGGGCGTCCAAAAAGGGTCCCTACAAACTCGCCCCCGGCGCGTCTACCTTTTGTTAGAGAAATTCGAGTCCCGCGCCCTACCAGGGGATGGCCACAGTTTTGGCGCGCCGGGACCCGTTTTGGGCTCGTTTTGGCTAGAAGGATGCGGTTTTAAAGGGGCTGGGAAGTATCTCTTTCTGTCTCTTTCTGTGTCTCTCTCGATCTCGCTCTCTCTCCTTCTCTCTCGTTCTTTCACTCTCTCTCTCTCTCGCTCTTTCGGTCGTTGTGTATCGTTATTTTGCGTCGACTCCGGTGAAAATGTCTTCATTTCTGCGCAACACCCGAGAAACGAATTTCACTTGGCAAAATGGCACCCAAAAATCATATGATCAGCGAGAAAGAGAGAGCGAGAGAGAGAGAGAGAGAGAAATTCAAACTATCACAAAACAGCTAAAAACACTGTATCAAGTCTTATCGGCCGACACGATGCTTCCAGAATCCTGGCTGACTTCCGGGGCTGCTATCGCCTAAAATACGTCTTCTCAAGCTCTTTTACTAAGCTTACACGTATTAGTATAGTCAAGGTAGTAATATAGATCTAAAGTCTGGTTTTTCGAATTTTGTACCTTCTTCCTGGTCGTCAGACTCCGGTAGAAAAAGCCGCCAAAACGCCCGAAAATTCCGCGGCCACGCTCTTTACGCCGCACTTGTCGGAGGTCGTCCATTTGTTTTCGCAGATTTAAGCGGCTTTCCTGAAAGAAGTATGGTCTTTTCCTAAAGAATTCCTGCTAGCCTGCCTGCACCTACCAGCAAAAAGATAGAACATACCTCGCTGATTTCATTAAAAAGCTTCTGGGCTTCTTGCAGGGCAGCTACGGCGTCTTGGAGCTAAAAGATGATGTTAAAGGAATTTTAAGAGCAAATACATGTCATTTAAGGTAAAGATACTTATGGATATGCCTTTTGGATTCTTTTAAAGGGACGAAACAGATTAACAGAAATAAATTAACGGGATTCGGAAGGCACGGAGATCCAAGTTTTTGGCATAGATCCAAAAAGATTTGCCTTCTGCGCTCCTTTAAAGGGCATTCAAATCATTTTCCATAAATGCTCAAAGCTAGCTTGCCTTTTGCACTTCTTCATTGGCCTGCTCCCGCATACGGTGTCCCTCTTCGGTGGACCGGATTTTTGTACCCGCCTGGCAGAGCTTGTTCATCTCCTGAAAATGCGAGCTAGGGAGACAGCTATAGAGAGAGAGAGCGAGGGAGATCGAGAGCGGGACAAAGAGATAGACAGTGAAAGGGAGCGCGAGACTCACATGTATCCATTTCTGAGCCCCAGCCTGTGACTCGACCCCAATCTGGAGTACCGTATCCCGAATCCCGCACAAATCGCTCTTCATTTTCTCGGTAATTCCCTGCATCTCCAGGCGATTCTGAAAACCGTAAAAATAACATAAACATAAATCATAAAAAAACTATAAATTAGCTTTTAAAAGGCCTTGGAAAAGTTCTGGCTCACATAATAATCCAGATATTTGTCCATATCGTGCTTCTTGTCAAGATGCTTCTCGATAGCACAGTCCGAGCAGAAGACGTGCGCCGTCATCTGGAAAAATTCGGAATTTAGAACATTTCAGGGTTTACCTCCTCGATTTTCGCCTTTTTCACGTCGATTTTTGCCTGTCTGGCGCATGTTCGGCATACCCGCATTCGTTCGACCCTAGAAATTTGAATCAGAAAGGGCTTGAGAGAGAAAGAGAGAAAGAGAGAGAGAGAGAGAGAGAGAGAGAGAGAGAGAGAGAGCGAGAAAGCGAGTGAAAAAGAGAGCGGGCGCGAGAGAGAAAGAAAGAGCGAGACGACATAGAGAAAGAGCGAGAGACAGAGAGAGACAGAGATAGAGAGAGAGAGAGAGAGAGAGAGAGAGAGAGAGAGAGAGACCTGGATCGCCCCTCGCACGACGCGCACTTGGCCGTCGAGTCGGGGACCTCGCCCTGCTTGGCCAGCTCGGACACGAGTCCTAACAAAATTTTTTTTTTATTTTTAATGTTTAAACTTACCCATAAGTGTGTAGTTGATCTTAAAGTGCGTGGAGTCACCGTAAAAACCGCGACGGCACACTACGCAAGCTCTGGAAAACGTCTTGTTCGATTTCTCAGAACTTGCAGAAGAACCCCACATTTTCAACTCAAAAATTCTATACTTGAAGCTCGATTAAAAGTTTTTAAGCTGAAGGAGCACTTTTTAAGGATTTTGAGCCATGTTTCTCCTATTAGTGCGTAGAAGCCGAAAATTAGCATCTACCAACCTGACTTTCCCGATACATTCCGTACACATCGAATGGCCGCAAAGAGGAGGTAAGCGAGGCACCCGTTTCGGTTCGGAGTCGCTGTCTAAAAATAATAGAGGGTATTTTAATCAATAAAGAATCTTTTGCTTTTTAGCTGGTAAACTTATATGCTTCACAAGTCTCTAAAAAACCCCCTACACATTTGCATGCAGGCCGGGCACGACGCGTCGGTGAGCTGAATGGAAAAGTCGTCGCTGTCCCGCGACGAGGAGGATGGCCCAAGGATACCCGGCATGATTTAACTGTAAAATACGCTTTTAAAAACTAAAAAATTAACCTCTAAACGAGCAAGACAAGCTGACAAGCGCCGTAGTGTAATGTAATGTAAATAATAATACAGCAAAAATAACCGAGCTTTTGAAGGTATGGACAAGGCGCGGCTATTGATTTCTGGCCATGAAGTCACTAGGTTTTGCCGCGGTCTCGACACGCAACACACACGCCGCGTGGCTGCCCATGACGCGTCGCAATGTTTTATGCGATGAAAGAGTGGGCGTCGCGTTGCGTTGCGTACTGCGGGCGCCGCAAACGTTCTCGAGAATCGATGAAAAAATCCATAGGCCCAGACCCAGGCCTTGGGTAAGCTTAAGCCTAAGCCTAAGCCTAGCCCCAAGCCTAAGCCTAACAACAATAAGCATCTAGAGTGAAGAGAAGAGATCGTCTCGAATGACGAGTTCAAGAACCTCCCAAAACAAATGAAGTATGCTTTCCGACCCTGTTTAACAAAAACGGTACTAAAGTATCGAACGCTCTACGAGTTAATGAAGAGCAGTGAGAAGCGATAAAATCGAGGGTGGCTCTCTCTCTCTCTCTCTCTCTCTCTCTCTCTCTCTCTCCCGCTCAGTGGGTGCCTTGCGAGATGGGTGGTGAGTGTGCCTCGACGGTCCGTAGTGCAAACAAACCGCTCGAACCCGAATGGACACCCCAACTCACCCAATCACCCAAATTTCCCTTCGATTAATCATAATTTTACTGGATTAAAATCGATTCCAGTTTAGTCTATTAAAGGCATTAACAAGAAAAAAAAGACAAAAAGCTAGCAGAAACTCTGGAACGTTTAGACCACTTTTTGACGCTGCTCAGTCCCGCAAAAAAAGAGTCTAAACACTCTATTTCCTAGAAAAGTCAGCTGAAAAATGCATTCAAATGTCGAAAAATAGAAGGATTATTTTATTCCGTAATAGAAAAAATTTTTTTATATGAACAAGAAAATCAGGCGTTGCTTTCGAATACCGCGGGAAAACGATCGAAAAATCCAATAAAAAATTTGTTTGCGAAAGAAAGGACCTAAGAATGGAGATTAAATCTAGACAAACAACTCGTCAAATATTTAATTACGCAATAAAAACGGCACGATTGTGGTTTACAAAAAAAGAAAACGGTCTCAAAAGTCCCTCCAGAAGCAATGAATCGACAAAAACTAAACTTAGATAAATTCATAAAAACAATGAAGACTAATTTATTAAACAGAATTTTACGCTTATCTAACCCTTTAGACAAAATGCTCTTTTTGTATAGCTAAAACCGTGTTTTTGAACACATTTTACCTACGAAAAATATTCTTTTGAAGCCCCTGGCCACGATATCGCGCCAGTCGAATCAAAACGAGCAAATTGGCGTTGTTTTTGTTTGACGATTCGTTGAACAAACAAAAAAAGAAGCGCATATTCGTAAAAAGCTAATATCGTAAGCCATTTCCAGAAAAATCGAATCCTTACCGATCGGGGCATCCGAGCCCCTCGGCCGCAGGTGTCCGATGGACCGGGAACACACACGCCAAGCAGCCGGCTATTCAAGAGCGCGAGCACATTGTCTCTGTTGGCCTAGACAAACGAAAAATGGAAACCCTCTTCGGCTTCTGGTGGTATTCGGGACGGTTTCGAACCTTTGCCAACACGTTTTGGGTAGAAAATGTGCTGTTAATTATAAGAAACAGCAAAATTAATGACTAAAAACTACCTCTTGAGGAAAAAACGTCATTAAAAAATGGGAAAACTTCCAGAAAGATTCCTAAAGTCCAGAAATGCCAGGTAGCAATTGTTTCAATAGTGTTTTTTGTTAAAATTTAACTTATCTCAAGTGGTAAATTTTCTAAAAAATTTTGGTGAACTTGGCCAATTTTTAATTTTGGTCAAAAACCGGCCATTTCTGGACGAAAAATAGATATTTTTGTTTTTTGATAAAATTTGGTAAAGTTTTGACGTTTGGGATAGTAAAACAACAGATTCGAAACGCTTCCTCTAGTTATATCAGAAAAATTGGCTTCTAAGGAACCCCGGTAATGGGAAAGCACCCAAAAATGTTGAACGACGTTGAAAAGTAGCAAAAAGGACATATAAACCGGTTCTTTCGCGTTATCGGGGGGTCGCAGGAGGAAAAAACAACTTTTGCATTAGTATCCAAGTTTCTAAATTGAGTAGTTTTTTTAGTTTTGCAATTGTATTTTGTGGTTGCACATTTTTAGTAATAAATACGAAAATCCCGATTTTTGACCCGAGGCCTCGGCTTTTAAAGGGTTTGTAAGTTTTTTGGATATTTTTCCGCAATATATACAAATTTGTACAAAATATATACTTGAAATATATACAAATTTGTACAAAATATTTTATTAAAATAGTTATTAAAAAGTAACTGGCGTTTCTGGACTGATAAGAAAAAAGCCCCCCCGAAAAAGCAAAAGCACCAAAAAAACTTAAAGCTGTCGCTTCCGGCTTCTGCTCGTGGCTTTTCCTCGCTTGCGCCAAAACTGATACCCCATAAGATTAGGTGTGGCGGCAAAGGGGAGAACGAGAGGGAGGAGGGGATGATCGATAATCGGTGCGCGAGCCATTGAGGGCGGCAGTCGTGTTGAGTATGATTCCCCGGGACGGCTTTCCGGCTTTCACGTCGCTCCGGCCGTTTACGTTGTCGAAAAAGGACAAAAAGGAGGGCGAAAACGTTGTCGAGCCGCCCAGCTGGTCTAGTAATGCCGCGCGTGTGTAACCCGTATCAATTCGGGCGTATCAGTCGAACCGGTGAAACGGAAATTAACGAAAAAGAAAACAAATCCGATTTTCTACAAAAAAAAACAGTCTAACAGTAATTTTCGAGATTCAACCACTTTCTTATCTTGTTGTTGAGCTGAGAAGCAGCCTTAAAACTAAATTTTCGGTTCTTTCGCGTTATCGGGGGGATGTTTTTTGAGGAACCAATTTGTTAAATATAAATAGCGAAAGTGTTTCTAAACTGTCTTTTTTACTTTCCCTAAACGTAGAGCTTTTGAAATTTTAATTAAAAATACAAAAATATTTTTTTTCCGACCAGAAGTGTCCGATTTTCGATTGGACCCTCCCCCCGATAATGCACAAGCACCAAAAGCCATTTTTTATTGGTTTACAGCTTTAAGAAGCTTTAAACCAATCAAACACGAGCAAAAAGTTTGAAACAAAAAAAAGTAAAAAGTAAAAAATTGAAACTCACAAACCCTCCGTTTGCAGCTTTGCATAAAAATACTGGAAGTTACGAATAGCCAAAAATCAGCTAAAGCCTCATCTGAAAAGAATTCCTGCCATAATCCCGACAGCCAAAATCCCGACGGCCGATTTTCAGTCATTTTACCCATAGCTGGTTTTAAAATCGGGGGTTTCTGGCTGTCGGGGTTATGGCTTTCGCGATTTTGATGTCGGTTGCGGTTGGCGGTTTCGCATCTGAAAAGCCGAGTCACTTTTCTCGGCAGTGTGGCTGACAGAGCTGATCCCACGGTGATCCGGCACCTAAAAAAAACCCAATGATAATGTGTGGGAAGGCGGCCATTCACCCCGACTGCCTGATAATTATCAGTTTTTTTCCGAGGACATCCGCACAGTTTTTCGGGCCGTTCTCTACTCCCCCTGACTCGGCTGGGGTCAACGAAAAGCGCGTTCCCGGATGGAACGGGATATCCTGTGAAAATGCTTTTGACGAGGGGGCTTTGAAAAAATAGGGAGAAGCCCGAAAAATAATTTAAGCGTGGCAGATAGCTTAGTTTGGATGTTTTCCATCGATGATTTCACCCTGCCAGGCACCATTAAAACGAAAAAAAATCAAAAATTTTCGAAAATCTAAATCATCTTTTTATATTTAAATTTAAAGACTATGTAAAATGCTATAAAAAGCTTATATTTTGTTGTTGGTCCATAGAGAATGACAGGAAAAAATTTGATCCCCCCCCCCCCCCGCTAACAGTCCTGAACCCAAAAAACTATGTTTCACTATCGGACCCCTACCCATCCATACCCTCAGAGGATGGATGATGCACGTGTGTGCACCCTTCAGTGTTGCAAAGACGGGGATGGCCTGACTCACATCTGTGCCATTTTGTTTTTTTTTGGGGTGGCGCGGGTCCGAATAACAAATTGATGGTGGTGGGCGCGGATGGGCAGGGCCCCCCAGCGAAATTGACAATCGATCTCAACGGACACATCTCACCCTGAACAGGGCTGGTCATTTGAATACCCGTACCCGTTTTCCGTACCCCGGGTTGTACCCGTACCCGTACCCTAAAATTTGCATAAGTTCTGCGGGTAGGGGTGTTCCAATAAAAAAAAACACCTGCACTAACACGACGCAAAAGTATCGGGTCGGAACGGTAGTTACACCATTCGAAAGCTCTTCAAACGGCGAATTTGCAGCGATCTTCAAAACCATGTTTTTATTTATACGCGCGATTTTACAACCCATTTAAAACCATTAAGAACTGGCCCTCTGTATCTAACTAACGGCTACTTCCGGTCGTTTTGTATGGAGAATTTGAGGCAAATTAGCTCGTATGCAACCTCGAAAAACCGCAAAATGTTACAAAAAAGGCTTTTAAAATAGCGGGCTTAAATAAAAACATAGTTATTAAGACTGTTGAAAACTGGCCGTTTCAAGGGCTTTCGGATGGGGTAACCACCGTTCCAATCCGATACTTTTGCGTCGAGTTAGAGGGACACCCGTCCCCGCATAACTTATCCAAATTTTAGGGTACGGCTACGGGTAGTACCCCGGTAGGAGCCGTACCTACCAGTCGTAGGCTAATTTCGTGGGTACGGATACGGTAGGGTACCCTATCAAGATGAAGATCCTCTTTCTGTACCGTAGTAGTAGTAGTAATATTAGTGGTACTACCGTAGTACCCGGGTGCCAAAATTGCCAGCTCTGACCCTGAATTGCCGTTGCATCTTGCCCTATCCGTTGCACTATCCAAGCGATACACGCGCTTCCCCCGTGTCACAATGCTTATGCGAGTTTATTGCCGGGAATTAATGGGCTGGAAAGTAGCTCACACGATCGCTCGAGACTGCAATCCCCACTAAAGGACCGCCTGTTAGTCTGGTATATTCGCTACCCGCTCTTACTAGGGCCACTTACCCGCCCGATAAAACAGGGACTCAGAATTGGCTGAAAATTAGCGCACAGATAGATCGATTCTCCAATTTTGCTACTGATCTTTAAAACTCGAGATATTTGTTTGAGTGTCATTCTTGTTTTGCAGTTACGCTTTATTTAAAGTAGTCTATCTAATAGAGATTTTTTTCTGATTCGAATGGTATGATATAGATTATTAAAGCAGGCTTCGTCTAGACGGCGTCTTGCACTTGTTGGAAGTAGGCTGGTTTTCACTTTTTCCCATACAAAAATTGGAGTCCATACCATAGAACGTCGATTTTTCCGGCGTTTCCGGTTTTTTGAAAATTTTGAGTTCGGGGGGCTTCGAACTACGAGGAAGAGAAAAATTTTCTTAAAGGGATAACGACGGCATAAGTAATCGCTGACGCGAGGGCAAGAAACTGTCTCTGCGTCTCGCCTTTGGACGCGTTCTCTGCCCTTTTGGCTACGGGTCAAAAATTCTATCAGGGGTGCTCGACCGATGCCGTCGGTATCCCTTTAATACGTTGGCAATATTTATTTTTGTCAACGGGAGAAAAAGATCAGCATAATCGAGGCCGAACTTTGATGATTTCAACTAAAGGATCGCTTTAAAAAAGGCCTATCTCGAGTTTTGAAGATAAGGAACAAATTCGGAAAAGAGGTGATGAGCAGCATGGTCGATTCTATCTGTGTGCTAATTGTCATTTCATTATTCCGGTTTCATGGTTCCGGTTTCATGGTTGAATAATTATGGGTCCGGGTCTATTCAAGGCTCCCCTAGTTAAGGCCCTAGCATGTGCGCTAGAAATTTCTAGAAATGCACCCTAGAAATTCATGCACCTTAGAAATGCCCCATGCGCTTTGCGCGCACGTGTACCTACCACTGCCTTTCAGAGCGCGCACGGGAGGGGTGGTCGGGGCGTGGTGTAGTGGTCTAAGGCGCCGGCCCAGCCCCGAGACAGGGGGTGCGGGTTCGGTTCCTGGGCCCGCTGTTCTTTTCAATTTCGTTTTGCTTTTTCGTCCCAAGTGTTCCTAATGGAGTGCCGTAACGCTAGAGAAATCAGGAAACGGGCTTTCACATTCTTTCAGGGCCAATAGACTGATAAAGTTAGACGGCGCCTTTACCATCTTCAAATGGTCAGTTGCCTAAATCGTCACGCTATGATTTTCTAAAATTGGTTGCAAAAGATCGAGTAAAGGCTGCTCTGTGTTCCCAGGGCTCAAGCAGATTTAGAAACCCTCATCATAAAATATTATATCCAGTTGGAAATTTGAGCGCACTTTCTGTTGAAACGGTAAACTAAAGGCCAGGAACATTCAATTTTGCATCTAATTGGATAGTTGGTAGCGGACGGTTCACAGAGAATTCAAAAAATCGATCTGGGCAACTATTTCATTGTTCTAGAAGGCATTTTGTGGAAGCTACCTTATTTTTCCAACTTAAAAGGGACCGGGCGCCGGATTGCTGTGGAGGATCCCTGCCTAAGCCGGCTCAAAAGATAGAGCGAAGTCTGTTTTATTTTTCCTCTACGCAAGTAGATTAAGATTTGCACATTGGAAAAACTTATAGCCTTTCGCAAGGTAGCTCTTTCCGACTTTCTATGCTTTCCCAATGCGTTACGCGGTGCATTGGCGCGCCGCGTAGCCCAGCCCCCGTCCCCCCTCTCGTGCGCGTTTTTATTAAAGCTTGAATGCCAGTGCTACGCATGCCCCCTAGCAATAACGACCACCTTAATAACGTCACGCAAAAAGCGACGCTTTTTTTCCTGGAATTAACGCCCTTTTCTCATAAAAATATTGATTTTGGTGGCCCTAAAAACCGGTGACCGGTTATATATGTAAAGTGCGCGCATATAAGTAATACTACCGACAACTGCAGGCCTGAAAAAGCTTACTTGTTCGAAGCCCTGCCCTTTGTATCTGCGCAGGAAGCGATAGGTGCAGCTCCTGGCCGCATTTGTAAAGTTAACGTCGGATAATCAGAACTGTAGCAGCGCACCTTGCGGAAAGAGCCTTGCGAAGCTTCCGAAAACAGCTTCAAAAACAGCTAGTCATTAGTTAGCCAGTATTTGTAAAGTACGCCTCGAAATATATGAAAAACTAAAGCGTCTACTTTCCAAAACGGCATACTTTGCAAGCAAGAGGCTTCAAAAAGCGTTCCGTAACGTATAGCTTTTTATTTTATGTCTCCTGTACCCTAACTTTTAGTTGTTTTCCGCTCCTACCGTAACTAAAACGATTCTCGCTCTTCTTTTTCATTTTTCCGCGGTACCCGGCCTGGCACGCTAAAACTCGTACCAACGTGAAAATTTTCATCTAGAGCTCGCATCCAGCCGCACGCTTCCGGATTTTCCATCACATCTGCGCCCATATCTTTTCCGGTAAGCCATTTCAGTTTTCGACCTTGTACTTTTTCTCTTTTTTTTCAGAAAGATCCGCATTTGCAAGAAAATATGACTTCTGAAGTCCTTGATCTGCTCAAGAACCTCGACCTCTCCGAGCCGAAGAAGCTGCCACCGGGCAAGAGCGGCAAGCCGACGAAGATCGCCACCAATTCGTATCGGTAATATTCTTTCCAGTTCCTTTTTCATTATTTTATCAGTCTCACGATCGCGAAGGGCCACGCCATCTTCAAGTACGATGTTCGCATCTACGAGACCTACGTCAACAAGCAGGGCGTCGCTTCGCTGAAAGAACTTTGCAAGCAGACCAAGGACGAGTGAGTTTTCTATCTATTCCCTTCTCTATCTACCAATTCAGCTTCACCGAGCAAGATCGCAAGGCGAAGACGGTCTTCCTGCTCAAGCTGTTGACGGAGAAGAAGTTGCTGCCGTTCGGAAAGCTCGAAGAAGTCGTGTACGATCGCGCGGCGATCCTCTTCAGCCTGAAGAAGTACCCGGCGGTCAACAAGCTCTTCGATGCGGCTACCCTCAAAGATATGAACTACAAGTGCTCTGAGGAATGCACCGGCGTACAATTCGAGCTCAAGCCCGTTACCGAGGACTACGCTGTTGGTCTTTTAGTGTATAGGGCTCGAAACTTCGCTCCCTAAATGCAAATTCTTTGCAAACCTTCCTGAATTGTGAACTTTAGCTGATAACCGACGATGCCTTCCGGGATGGTGATGGAAACATCTTGGAGTTCCTGAACCTGCTGACGTCTCAACACGCCTTCGTCCGCACCGACAAGTTCATCGTCTACCAGTCGAACCGTGCCTTCCTCTTCGACCCCTCTGAGGCCGGATTCCGCGAGGCCGATTGCCCCGCCCTTCCGGACGGCAAGTACCTCGGAATTGGATGCGGCAAGAGCGTGCACATCGCCGAAGGCGCTTCGAAGGGCAACGTCGGCCCCATCGTCACCGTTGACGGTT